CTCTTATTAACAGTCATAGGGTGCTCTTGAACAGGGGCTGGCAATCCCTCAGGGTCATGTAGCCAGAAGAAAAAGTTGGTCCAGGCACTCCATCAATTCAATCAGATTTATTAGACATGAACTGACATTGCAACCTTTCGGCCCCGATGGGGCCTTTGTCAAGCTAGCTAGCTTGACAAAGGCCCCATGTGTGCTAAAATGTTGTAATGTCTGTTTAATTTTTTACCATAATTCACTATAGCTAATATTATTAGCAATTATATTGTGCCAACATATTCTGCAATGCTTTACACTTATAGGAAGGGGATGTTTAGAGGTGAAGAAGGTACTGCTCAAAGAGAGTACAAGGTCTTAAGGTAGGCAGATATATATCATTAGGTGTTTTGCCCAAGGACATTTACTGAGACGTGGTGGTCTGACTAAAATCTGAAACTGGGTTTCCCAATTCTAAGGCAGGAATGTTACCACTGCTCTAACTAGCTGATAGATTACTAAATATCACTAAAAACAATCTAATACTAAAACTGTCCTTTCAGCTTTAGTTTGTTTACATTAAGTTGCAATGACTCTACACTAATATGTTTTCTGTCACTTAAAAATCAGTAAACTGACCATATATTAATGCATGTTGCCCCATATATTTGTCAATCACTCTTTATGACCCAACCCAACTTGTTTAGTGATCATCAGTAGAACAGGACCAATCGAAGGAACAATATCACAACAGATTTGCTTAACCCCTTAAGGACCAAACTTCTGGAATAAAAGGGTATCATGACATGTCACACGTGTCATGTGTCCTTAAGGGGTTAATGGTATTTTTTTTTACCTAGTTAAAGACATACATTAGTGTTCTAGCTTTTATAAGCAAACATTTGAGGAATTATTAAAACACTTTCATATGCTACAACAACAAAGCCTTTGAACTTTTCAATGTTTTTGTCACCTTGAATCATGCTAGAATTAATCACGACTGGTAAAAATATGAAAGGGCTAATTATTTCTTGTTAGTGTTTAGATACTCAGCAGTAGGTAGATAGCAGCAGGTGCAATACTGAGAAGGAATAAACAATCTAATATCAAACAGAATTCATTTGGCACACCTAATAGTGAAAAGCTTTAGGATAGCAAATTAACTACTAGTAGTACAAAGCAGAGATATCAGGGATCCAAACTAAGGAAACAGAAGCAACTCTAAAACAGGATCAGACATAGTACCAGACAGCAATAAAGTAAAAGCAGAGCTAATACAAACACCGGGGTTGTGATTTAATATTGTTAAATAAACTTTTCTAATTATTAAAAATTTTGGGATAAACTTTTAAAAAATATTTATTACCATAAAAAATATTTATTACCATAAAAAATATTTACATTTTTTTTTATATTTTAATATTTAAAAAACACATTTGAAATGTTTTCTAAAAAAAATATAAAATCATCGGAAAATCTTATCCAACATTATTAAATTGAGTCCAAAGACAGCTGAGCTAGGCTTTGCGTAAATACGGCATAAAGGCAGCAGCAGTAACAGCAATAAGGCAACAGCAAAGCTAATGTTTTATAGAATTAAAGCATTGATGCAGATAATAGATTTTGAAAAGTATTAAAGGCAGAATCAGAAAAGGCAGAACTGGAGAACAGCATTAGAGGTGTAATAAACCTATTATTGAACATCATTAATGCAATTGATCAACTAGTTACAAACAGCATATAAAGGGGACAAGTCTCTACTCTATTCTCTCTAGTGTCAACTTTTTTATGAGATACTCTGTATTATATAAAATGTACATTTATATAAAGGAATAGGCAAATGACATGATAATCCACTTCAGAGAAGGAACATTGTGCAAATGGAGACATTGTTGCGTTTCTTCTTTCCCCTGTATGCTTTCTCTGCTGACTGTCATACACAAAGCAAAGTGACAATGACCGATAGAGGGGTAACATGGAGGCATCCATCTGCAAGAAAAAGTGTTTTTTTGGGTGTGGAGTGATCCTTTAAGTAATCAGCTACAAACATAATACTGGAAATATTTAATTTAACAAAAGAACACTAGTAGCAGAATTAGGAAAATGAAACTATAACCACTGCAGAGTAGGCAAGCAGGGCAGCAGCAACAATGATTGCACTGAGAATTAAAACAGCAATAAACACTTTATACAGGCATGAGCTGTGTTAGGGACAAAAGAAGTGGTAAAAATGCAGAAACGTAGAAGAGGCAGCATTAAGGAATACGAGGTCTGTCTTGAAAAAGTCCAGCCATTGTTAATATATAGAGAACAGTTGGTGCAACATTGGTGTAACCTGACAGTCAACGAGAGTGGACTGGAATGCGCATGAACAATGACAATTTCACTGTACTGGTCAGTAGAGATGCTAGAAGCCATGGAGTGAGCATGTGTACTGTGTGACTGTGGTATTCAAATTGTACTGGGCGAATAGAGCAAGGAATCTGCATCAAATTTTGCATTAAGCTTGAATATTCATTCACGGAAGCAATTTGGATGATTGAAATCAAATAAAAGTGTGGCACACATGCTTTAAAGATGGTCGAGAATCTGTTGAAAGATTTGGTGCCCTGTGACTTCTGGGTTTTTCCAAAACTAAAATCACCTTTGAAAGAGAAGAGAATTCAGACCATTGATAAGATTCAGCTAAACACAATGAGGCAGCTGATTGCAATTCCAAAAAAGGATTTTGCAGAGTGTTTTGAACAGTGGAAGAGATGCTGGGAGAACTGGGAGAGATCACAAGTAGTGATGTCCCGAACGGTTCGCCGAACGGTTCGTGAACGGTTCGCGAACGGTTCGTGAACGGTTCGCGAACGGTTCGTCACAGACTCATCATTGAGTAAACTTTGACCCTGTACCTCACAGTCAGCAGACACATTCCAGCCAATCAGCAGCAGTCCCTCCCTCCAGACCCTCCCACCTCCTGGACAGCTTACTAAGAATGCAGCTTCACAATGAATGTAAAATGGATGCTGTCCAGGAGGTGGGAGGGTCTGGGAGGGAGGGTCTGCTGCTGATTGGCTGTAATGTGTCTGCTGACTGTGAGGTACAGGGTCAAAGATTACTCAATGATGAGTCTGCTACGAACCGTTCGCAAACCGTTCGCGAACCGTTCGGCAAACCGTTCGGGACATCACTAGTCACAAGCTGCCTACTTTGGGGGACTGAGGAGTCATTCTCCTATGTATAATATTTCTTGTATCTTGTATCTTAAATGTCTCTATTTTTCATATTACATGGCTGGATACTTTCAGGACAGGCCTCGTAGACTAAATGAAATATAAAACAGAAAGCATAAAACGTATAATAAAGGATTATGTACACATATGTTTTATGAATGAAATAAAGTTATTTTGTCAAAATACAAGATTAAAAAAAAAGAGGATAAACTGAACATAGAGCCAAAAATAGCACATATACTCAATAACAAAGAGCTAGTTTATAAATAAATCAGAACATGCATCACTTATCATAAAAGCAAGCTATTCAGCATTGAGCTTCCCCCTGAGTTAAACATTGTCAGACACAGTTATCGTGCTTCTGTTCTCAACATTGTCATTCTGTGAAACCCCTTCACTGCAGTGTGTAAGCTAAAGGTATATAAAATAATGCATACCTTCATTATTTTATGCAAAGGAATAGCAATTCGGTGCTTGTTAAGCACAAGTATCACAGTAAATTTTGATTATAATTGCTTCTCTGGGTATAGATTACGTGTAAAGTTTGATGCCTGAATGTGACCGAAAGTGATTAATGAGTATTTCACAAATGCGGCGATGATGGGCTCTCGCTATTTCCAGCATTGTCAGACTATTCTCAAAAACGTACTTATGTACAGGAGAGGCTAAAAGTCTAATAATGTAGGATCTTAAAAACATAAAAAAAGAATTAATCAGTTTTGTTTTTTGCAGTTTCAAACAAGGCACTAGAAAGATACAACATATATTTCAATAAATATACAGAATGAGTAGAAGCTTTTCTGAAGAACAGAACACATTTGAAATATAGTAGTTTTATTTTCCTTAGATTAGATTATAAAAATTATTCTTAAAAAAAAAAAAAAAAATCCAATCACCATAATCACTACAACTTACAGCGACACCATTTAGAGGACATGGTTCTCGGAGTTTATGGCAATATATGCTCTCAGGTATTTGTCATTTATTTTGGTGTTGGTTAACTGCTTGTACCAGCAGGGGACCGGTCAGGCGTTGTGACCTTTTAACAGCGTGACCAGTCCCCTTGCTTTTCAGTAGCCAGCTCAGAGGAAGTGACAGCCGCGAGTCACTTTCTCCCATGAAGAGAGCTGCTGCACGGGAGGGTGCAGAAGAAGCCGCGCGTGAGGAAGGAGGAGGCAGTGAGGATGGAAGCTCCTCATTTCCATCAGCCTCAGGCAGCACACTGGACCCCAGAGAAGGCAGGAAACTGGAGGCTAGTCTTAAAAAAAATTTAATTTTACATTTATGTCTGTCCGTGCATCTGTGTGTTTGTCAGTAAGTCTTTGTGTGTGTCAGTATGTCTGATAATGTATGTATCTGTGTGTGTCAGTTTGTCTGTGTGTGTGTGTCAGTATGTCTGACAGGGTATGTATCTCTGTATCTCTGTGTGTCAGTAGGTCTGTGTGTGTGTGTGTGTGTGTGTGTGTGTGTGTGTGTGTGAGTGCGTGTGTGAGTATGTCTGACAGTGTATGTGTCTGTGTGTGTGTATATGTACCTGTTGTGCATGCATGTGTGTGTGTGTCAGGCACATACACTGATATACATACTGACACATACACACAGGCACATATACAGACAAATGGACACACACACAGAAACACAGATAGACATACTGACACACACAGGCACACATAATGACAAACATACTGACACACAGATACATATACTGACATACATAATGATACAGACAAACAGGCACATACACTGATAGACATACTGACACACAAACACATACACACACACACACACAGGCACATATACAGACATACTGACACACACACAGACACATACACTGATAGACATACTGTGTGTGTCAGTATGTCTGTACATGTGCCTGTGTGTGTGTGTGTCAGTATGTCTATCAGTGCATGTGCCTGTGTTTGTGTGTCAGTATGTCTGTCAGTGTTTGTGCCTGTGAGAGTGTTAGTATGTCTGTCAGTGTGTCAGTATGTTTGTCATTTTATATGCCTGTGTGTCGTATGTGTCAGTGTGTTTCTCAGTATGTCTGTCATTGTATGTATTTGTGTGTGTCAGTATGTCTCAGTTTATCTGTTTGTGTATCTGTATGTGTCTGTGTGTATCGGTATGTGGTCAGTGTGTGTATCTGCATGTCTGTCAGCGTGTGTACCTGTGTATCTGAGCATCTGAGCACCAACATTAAATACAAATACACACCTACATTCACACTTCAACATTACATACAAACACACTCCTGCATTGAAACGTCAGCACTACATACAAACACACTCCTGCATTGAAATGTCAACACTTCATACAAACACACCTCACAAAATTATATATAAACAAACCCCTGCATTAAAAACCAACATTACACATAAATGCACGCTTGCAATCAAACTCTAACACCACATACAGACACATTCACATAAATACACTCCGTACAAAAACATGCTTACATTCAAACACACAAACACAGTGCTAAATACAACCCTGCAAGCATGGGAAATTGGTAGAGACCCAGCTGTCAAAGCATTGTTGGAGCGGCATGATAGATAGGGTTCTACCTTCTTTCCAACCTTGCAATTGGGGGCCCAATGAAAATCTTCCACTTGGCTCTTTCTACTGCGTTGGAGTGGAAGCCGTGAGTGGGTCCAGGAGGTCCTGGGGGCCCAAGCAAATGCTTGCCCAGGGCCCAATCAATATCAAAGACGGGCTTGATTGGAGCCAGTGCCAGTGTAGATGCAATAAAAAGTGTTGAAAAGGCTACATTCTCAATAGGGCAAGTAGGGCATAGGGGTAGGCTTTGGGTGCTGAGAAATGCTGCAGTTTTCATCAATCCATATGAAAATAGTTTGACAAAGATCGGAAGAACAGCATCTATAGCCTTCTTTTACCATAGCCACTATAACATCTGTAGTCCCTGTGTCACTTAAAGCATTTCATTAAGCATATATATTTTCTAACTGTTAAGTAAAAATTAAAAAATGAGGATCATTTTCAAGGTCTGTAAAATAAAACAATTGATAAGAGATATGTTGGTAGTAAAGCCTTTTAAAAAAATTAAACAGGGTTATCTACGTTAAGTTATTAAGTATCAATTATTGCTTCATCTTTGTTAAATAATTAAATCATACATTTAGGATTTAAAAAAAAAAAAGATCAATGCTTCAGTCCTTTTAGTGTCTAACTTCCCCTTTAAAAATACTGATGACTATTTCTTAGGCCGGTGGTTACCAAATGCGTGTCTTGAAAAATAACCTTGTATACTGAACGTCTACAATAAAATGCCCTTCATCTTGCCATGAAAGGTGTCAGTAAAGAACTTTTGTCTTTTTTATTGCAAAAAGTATTTTATTTTCAGGTTGGATCATAGAAAGGGAATGAAAATCGTTCTTTAATCTGTCTATTTTTTATTTTTGCTCGTAAGTAATAAATTATAACTTAATAAAAAACTATCTAAGTTCACTTCAGGCAAAACCCACACCTAACCAGAATCCATTAGTATGGAATATAGTTTGTATTAGACATGTGCACCAGTGAAATTTTCATTTCATAAAAATGATTTCGTACTAAATAAAAATTTAATGTGTCAATCCCGAATTTCGTCCACAAACCATTTGTTTTCAAGGAAATTCGTTAAAAAATAATTAGTTTTTGTCCATTAGGACGAAAACAGCCCTGCTCATGCACAAAAAAAGCAAGGAGGGAACCAGCAGTGCTACCAGCTCCCTCCTTGTAACAAAAAAACATTCCTACTCCCCCCCGCAGTAAAACCTATGGGTGTCACGATGACCCCTATATTAATAAACAGGAGATTAAATCCTCCCACATGCCCCAACCTCGCAGCATGCCACAGCTGCTCGCTGTCATTTAAAACTAAATATAAATTAGCATGAGGGTCACTATGACCCCTATATTGATAAAAGGGAGGTTAAATTAGGGGCATGTCACCTAAACAAATTTAAAACTACTTGCCCAGTCACTAGTGCAATAAGGGGGGACCTGGCACAGGTTAAATCCTCCCGCATGCCACTACCTGTGCCAGGTCCTCCCGTGTAGTAGGGGCATGTCGCCTAAACAGCGAGCAGCCAGTGGCTGTTCGCTGTAATTTAAAACTGAATATAAAAATCTTTATCTTATATAAAAGTGATAGAGAGCTACGGTAAGAGTGTAACCAATAGTTATAGCAAAACTATAACAATGTTGCGGTATGAAAAAGTAGTTATTTAGATCAGTAACACAATAAGCCTGTACTACTGATCTAAATAGCTACTTTTTACACATACTCTTTCCGTAGCTCTCTATCACTTCTATACAAGATACATTCATATCCAGTTTTAAATGACATTTCAAACTAAATTTAATCAGTATGAGGGTCACTATGACATAGTGCCCCCCCTGCACTCCCACCCGTGACCTGCGAATGGGGGCTATAAATATAAACATGGTGACCTAATGTCCGCCAAGGTCCACACACATGAGCGGCGGGTGGGGACCCTAAATAAATAATGGGAGGTCCCCAAATAGCAGCAGGTGGAGACTCTGATTAATTATGACCGGCGGTAGGTAGGGTATTTTCATTGGGGACTAAGAGTCCCCAATGAAAATACCCTACCTACTAATTTTCAGATCAAAAGCAACCAATCAGTGTGTTATGAGTTAAATTACACAGCATTGGAAATTTCCAAAGAACTTTCCCACGCTGTGTAAAATGACAGAGCGCTCTGATTGGTTGGATTTCAAGCCAACCAATCAGAGTGCTGTGACAGGTAAATGTAGAGACTTCAACCTATCAGAGCACTCTGAGCCTACTTGCAGGGCATGGAAAGGCTTAATTTTTTACCATCGGGATTAGTTTTTTTGGCGCAATTTTTTTTAAATATATTTTAACAGTTGCGACGGGTATGGATTTTTATTTGGCCTTTTTGGGGGCTGAAGAAAGAAAAGAAAAGAAAGAAGACATCTAATGGTAAGTATGCAATTTTATTTTACAGGTTTAGTTTATTGCTCCCCCCTCACTATTATTAGGGTGAGGGGGTTAGGTAGGGTATTTTTACTAGGGGGGGGACCCCTAGTCACTTTATTATTTGTGGTCCCTACCAGCCGCACATGGGTGGGGGCCTGGGGGGGCATTAGGTCCACCACATTATTTATTTAAATTCCCTACCCGCCGCTCATTGGTGGGGACATTAGGTCGTGGCATGCCGCACATAATGGCATGCGGGAGGATTTAACCTCCCTTTTTATTAATATGGGGGTCATAGTGACCCCATAGGCGCCCTCATTGTTTGTTTGGGTGTTTTTTTGCGCAGTGCTGTTTTCTCCGTGCTGTGGGGCTTAATTCCCCTGCAGCACGGAGTCTATTAAACGAACGTAATGAAATGAAAAGGTAATGCATTCAGCATTTGCCCTTTGTTTTGTTTAAATTTAATATGTAGGGCTTTCGTTTACGTTTTAGTAACCGAATATGAAAAAAAATGAATTTTTGAACGAAATCGTATTCGTACGAAAAGGAATGCACATGTCTAGTGTGTATTCCAGAAGGTAATTTGGTCTCAAGCAATATAATCCAGAAAGAAAATAATGGGTAGAGGCTGATTGCATGATTCTCTTTCAATCACTTTAGCTTTGTTATTTTAGAAAATACTGGGAATTTATTTGAAGATTAAATTGAAAACGTTTGCTTGTTGCATATTTATTTTGTATCTTTAAAAAATGTGTTTACATAAAGACAGGTCAATGCAGTCTGATACAGTACTCTATAATTTAGAATGTATAGAAAAAAATAATAGCTATTAGTGGAAAATATGATTTTAGACAGGGAGATAGTTTAACTCTTCGTAAATGTATACATTGTAGAATCTAGGCTACTGTCAAAGTATAGTTTAGATAAGATCGAATCTAAAGATATCTTAGTGAAACGTTAATGGAAACATAGCATAGTAATCCATGAGAGATTCGGACTAGACCAGGGGCAACTATAAGCATTTCAATGTTGTGGGCGAAATCTCCCATAATGCAGTGGCAGCTATAATGCTGGCAAAATATCAGGGGAGATGTTGTCCACAACATCTGGAGTTCCAAAAGTTGCTTAGAAGTAAAGATTAGAAAGCTAAAGAAGGTAGGCCATGCAGGTTAAGATAACCGGGACGATTTATCAAAGCAAAATAACTGGTTTTCTTGGACAAACTACTAAATAAGGAGTAATCACCATGAGATCCATTATTTATTTTACTACTGGTATTTATAAAGCACCAACAGATTCCGCAGCACTGTACAATTAGTGGAGAACATACAATACACACAGACAAATACAAAAGATAGAGAGGGCCCTAACCTTAAGCTCAGATCTAGCCATTTAAGCTCTTTTATACAAAGTGCTTAGCTAGATAGCCTGTGAGCTTACAATCTAAAGTATACCATGGGGATTTGAGACAAGAGGTAGCAGGGGAAATGTGAAAGTGATGGCTAAATAAGTAAACAGAGAGTTGCAGCTATTGGTAGAATGTAGAAGAAATGAAGAGTTAATTGATTGAGAATTTTAAATAACTGGAGGAGCATGCTATAAATTTAGGAGGAACCTGGATGGACAGGAGGGTGGGTTGCGCCGAGTAGAATTAAAGAGGCTTGCTGCAGAGATAGTATGGGAATTGGGGCTTAAAGCTGTAGTGTTCAATTGAAGAGGCTTACTGCAGAGATGGTATGGGAATTGGGCCTTAAAGCTGTAGCGTTCAATTGATGAGGCTTGCTGCAGAGATGGTATAGGTATAGGGCCTTAAAGCTGTAGCGTTCAATTGAAGAGGCTTGCTGCAGAGATGGTATGGAAATAGGGCCTTAAAGCTATAATGTTCAATTGAAGAGGCTTGCTGCAAAGATGGTATGGGAATTGGGAATGTCTACAAGCATTTAGCACTTTGCACCCATCACCA